CCTTCTCTCGGTATCATTTTTTTTCACCGTATCGCGCGACCTTTGTGGTTTAACTAAGAATTACTGCTGAGGTTAGGCACAGAAGTTTAGGTAATTGTGGTCGAATACTCGTGAATGCTCGAACCACTGTGTTTGAAATAGGTGAAATGTCTTGCGCATGTTTATTATGGGGCGGATTCTTTGGCGTGCCGTAATTGTTGAGACAGGTAATGGCACGTTGAATATCAGAGGGTGTCAGAGTCAAATCAGATATGTGGGCTCTTGGTCACATGGGCTCCTGAGACTTCTTGGTTGAGGACTTAAAGATCGGGGTAGCCGGTGGTTAGAGATACTGAATGACGTGACCGTATCGTAAGCAGTAGTGCTCATGCATCTATTCAATATCTTCGCAAATTCGGTTTAATTGTATTCTGTATCCTTACTCTGGTTCTGTTCTTAGTTTTTTACTTTTTCTGTCTTCTTAATTCTAATGGGCAGCTAAAACATGGTAGTTAAAAGCAGCGAAGTAAAGTGCAAGGTTAATGGTTGAGTAAACTGCAACAAAAAACCCTCATGAAGACCGTAATTGCTGACCAGAGACACCGAGTCATCTGGCTCAGGGTTGTAAACAGTGGAGCACATGCAACTTTTCCCTTTCTGCGCAAATCTGATTTACTTGGTGTTTTATTTGATTGTATATTTAGCTTTCAACTGTTCGATTTACCGCTTTACCGTTAGTCGATCAAATGAGTTACGGAGCAGCAGCAGCCAGCTTTTACAAACTGAACTGAACCGAGCCCAGTGGTACCGAACCGATTGTTCGCCAGGCATCATTTTCTGTTACAATGGCTACGGTTATTTAGGAATCAGATGAGTGATCTTCGCACAGAGTTTTGGATCTCCGCTCCAACTCTTGGTTCTAGACTGACCCAGCTTTCCTTGGCTTTCTTGGGACAGGAAAGAGCTTTGCTACACGCTGTATGTGAGACCTTTTGATGCCTCGCCACCTCAAATCTCAGTCTGAAGTATCGATTTGCATAACTGAATTGTAGGTCTCTCAATGGTGTGTGGTAAAACCACGAAGCTAATAATACAATGGTCGATCGTTTTCAAAACGCCACCAACTTCTGCGGTCTTTCTATATGTGACTTGTGACCGACGGATCATTTTACATCCGAAGTTCATATTAGATCCTCCTTGTTCAGAGCTTATTACCGGAGCAGATTTGATTATAGTTCTATCTCACTGATTGGGCATCGTTGTCTTTGTTGCTATGCCCGAGTCTGTTCGAGAAACCGGACAAAAATGCTGAGGTTAGGAACGGTGTTGCATGTGAGCGCCATCGTCCACAGGAACAAATGTTTAACCTCCATTGATTACGCTTGCTGCGTTACACATGTCACTAATTTGATTGCCACGGCATACGACGCTTACTGTGGCAAGTAGTGGTAAAAGAAAGTCAAGGGTGGTCAAAATAAGACTAATAGCTTCGATCTT